TGTCTATTGAAGATTTTTATTTTAGTTTCAAATGTTATATAAACTATTTATTCACATGACAAGTCTATAATTTACTCTCTAGACCATCGGATGGCTGAGATTTAAATGGATTTAAACATAATCGCTATTTAATAAATCTTATTCAAAAATGGATAATCCAGACTTAGTCTCGATTGTCAAGTACCATTGCTACGATAATACACAATCTACGCTACATCTTGAAACACAATAAGATAATTTGAATGAAATTTTCCATATATTTCATTTTTTCATTATCTATTTTTTTTTTAACTATCATAGCGAGAACTGTCATCTCTCAAACTAATTAAAATACAGATCTATATTTTGTTTCATTTTTTTTTATACTTTTGATGGCCTACACTACATGAAGATCTGACTGGTTGTACTGAAAGGTTGTGTCAGGGGCCAAGAACACGTGGTAACAGACCGTTTCATTAGCTAATCCCTCACTTCAACCAGAACGCCGGCAATATAACAGCTCTACCAGATCCTAGTAGTGGAGTAAAAATAACATTTGACCTAGAATAAATTGCAAGAAATTGTTTTTTGTCATTTTTCGACTCTATGGGACTTGTAAGTCACAAATATGAAAATCGGACAAAATCGACTCTCAGATAAGTGTTCTACAGGTGTCAAAGTTCAAGGTCATGTCAAAATGAGGTAAAAATGAAAGAATTGTCATAAAATCCTTAATATTTGTCATAAAGTATCAAACTTAGTGTCAAACTATGGGTTTTCAGGGGTGCTGAATCCAATGCAACCATTATTTATGTTGTGTGACGTCGCTATGACGTCATGACGTCATTTGGGAATGACGTCATGACTTTTAATTCTGCGATTTATCATCATAATAGGGCCCTAATAGAGTATCGACACTTGACTTTATACATGGGGTTACCCAGAATATCTACTAAAACTCATCCACTGTAATTGCACGACAGGGTGTCAGCATACCAATTGCTCCTGTAGGAAATATGGTCTACCATGCCACGCTGGCTGCAGAAAATGCCAACAGGACCACTGTACGAACTGTATCCTACCTGAAACGGAGCAGGACAATGATGAAGATGAGGATGATATAGATTTGGATTTATTCTAAATTAAACTATAATACTTTTATTAGGGATTTTTAGGGATTTTTACAAATTAATAATTTTGTTTAAGTTAATTTATTTATGTTTCTCTGCTGTTGACAAATGCTATGTAACTATAAATCCTTGAAGTTGTTCTAAGGATCAGCCATTTACTGGACTTTCTTAGTGGAACAACTTCAAGATTGTTTGTATATAGTCAGTCGTATATCAGTCGCACTTTTTACTGCAGTTGCTACTGAGCCTTCCGTAAGGTATCACCGTGGGACATATGACTGGGTAACTCGGAGTTACCTTGTCCGGAGTTACCCGATCCCACCGTTTTTCCTATCCTCGAAAATCACTGAGTTTGGGCCCCGCCTGAGGTTAGACGCAAATGAGATTTCACCAGAATCCTTTTCAGCAGTGAAGTTTACGTTTTCATCTCTCATTTGAGTACAAATTCGACACAATGCGACTCTTGAAATACTACGAATAGAGTTGAAATTTTGACAAGGTATGCGACATTTTGGGTAACGCCATTTCTAGGATCGGGTAACTACCCAAAATATTGCATATTGTCAAGATTTCGTCTTTATTCATAGTTTTACCAAACTCCCAATCTGTCGAATTTATACTCGGTCGGGCGAATGACATGAAAACTTCACAGCAAATCGGAGATTTTCGAGGATCAGAAAAACGGCGGGATCGGGTAACTCCGGACAAGGTAACTCTGAGTTACCCAGTCATATGTCGCACGGTGAGGTATTAAAACCTAAGATAATATTGAAGTTTTTCGTTTAGAAATTATTTCTAGATTCTACAATCTATGTGAATATGTATAATCATTAAATTGTCTTGCATTTGCCCTTCATTTTTATTGATATTTTTAATTGTAATAAGAGAAAATATTGTTTATAATGAAAGCTATAGTTGTAATTCTTGAAACGAAATACCTAGTAGATCGGATTCTATTGAAATGGTCTCTCAAAAATACGTTTTGTCGCATTTTCTTTCCTTGATTGTCCATCCCCGATAACCCCATGTATAAAGTCAAGTGTCGATACTCTATTAGGGCCCTATAATGATGATAAATCGCGGAATTAAGAGTCATGATGTCATTCCCAAATGACGTCATGACGTCATAGCGACGTCGCGCGACATAAATAATGGTTGCATTGGATTCAGCACCCCTGAAAACCCATAGTTTGACACTAAGTTTGATACTTTATGACAAATATTAAGGATTTTATGACAATTCTTTCATTTTTACCTCATTTTGACATGACCTTGAACTTTGACCCCTGTAGAACACTTATCTGAGGGCCGATTTTGTCCGATTTTCATATTTGCGACTTACAAGTCCCATAGCGTTGAAAAATGACAAAAAACTATTTCTTGCAATTTATTCTCGGTCCATCACTATTTTCTGCTATTTTTACTCGACTGTAGTGTAGTAAAGACAAGTAAAACGAAATTTTGGACTATCAAAAACGAAACGAAAAAGGATCCGTGTTTTAATCAGATTGTTTCATATCTTTATCTTTCATGATGCATCTTTTAAACAAATCATAATTTTCATCTGTTTCTTCATCTTTTATTATTGAGTTGATGAAACTATATCTGTGAACATAATCTTAAAATTTAGGATTTATTATCCCACCTCCAGGCCGTATCTACAGCCCTGGAAATTATCGATGATCTACGGGGCTGTGTCTTCGCCTCCTGCATCAAATGATCCGCTAAATGAACCTGTTGGTGTACTTGGTGGAGGCGTGTCCTGCTTTTCTGTCGCGTTAAGCTGTAGTCGTATAGCGTGAATACGGAAATGTAGCCTTGATTCCAAGTGATAACCCTTATAGTTCTTTCTGTAAAAATAACATTGTAAAATTATTGAGAAGGTTAGATTAACCGAAGTGTAAAAAGAAAGTAAATCGCACTTTAATATCCTACTTTTCTGCATCAAGTGGCTAATAAAGATACAACTATGTCACACAGTGTGCTATGGACACACATATGTCATACAGTGTGCTATGGACACACATATGTCACACAGTGTGCTATGGACCCACATATGTCATACAGTGTGCTATGGACACACATATGTCATACAGTGTGCTATGGACACACATATGTCACACAGTGTGCTATGGACACACATATGTCATACAGTGTGCTATGGACACACATATGTCATACAGTGTGCTATGGACACACATATGTCACACAGTGTCCTATGGACACACATATGTCATACAGTGTGCTATGGACACACATATGTCATACAGTGTGCTATGGACACACATGAAACCATGAATCACCTAAATTGTTAATGTAGCATTTAGTCACTGAATATGAAATAAAATAAAATGAAATGGGGTTTAACGCCATACAGTGCGCTATGAGGAAAATGTTGCAAAGGGCAGCGGCACTATGACTTATTCTTATTTCGAATTCCAACTGTCAAGGGATCTTTTACGTGCATGCCAATGTATACACAGGACCTCGGTTTTTCGTCTCATCCGAATGACTAGACAGCTGTCCTTGTCAGACCCTCTGTCATCCTGCACCAAAGACAAAGCGGAAACCACGTCGGAAAAATCCCAATGAACTTTCTGGACCAATACAGGGACTAAACGGCTTAACCACTTAGCCACCATGGCTGGCTCCCTAACTGAATATGAACAACACATAACACAATTATATAATTGTATTTCTGGCGTCATTTTGACTAACATTCTCTCCTTTTGATTAAGTACTTACTTTGTTTTCCCCAGGATAGTTTTTGTTTCTTCAAATTCTTCATTTTTCAAACAAATTCTGGCCATTTCAACATGAGCGTACGGAATCAGGTACAGATCTTGTTTAATCTGTTTCTCACTAAAACAAACAAATAAAATGAAATATGGTTTAACGTCATCCATTGTTGTATCAACAAAGCTAAAGAGAAAAAAGGTTGCACGTCCACGACACAAACTACGTCATTTTGGGACTAAATGAAATGAAATGAAATGGGGTTTAACGTCCTACTCATGAGAGAGAAAAAAGGTTGTACGTCCACGACACAAACTACGTCATTTTGGGACTAAATGAAATGAAATGAAATGGGGTTTAACGTCCTACTCATTTCGGGACTAACTTATATCGTTTAAGGTCATCCATTGTTGTATCAACAAGGCTATTGAGAGAGAGAGATTTTAACATCCACTCGACACAATCTAGGTCATAAAATGAAATGTGGTTTAATAGGGTTGTACGTCCACAACACAAACTAGGTCATTCAGGGACTAACATATGGTTCAATTTTATTTCAATAATTCGATTGCGTGTAGGGGTCTGTAGCAGTGGGAGGAAACCTGTTGACCCAGAAAAAACCCACGATGTTGGATAGGCGACCTCACTCGTTGTCAGGTCACTTGACTCAATGACAGATCATATGATCCAATGTGCACACGTTAGCCATTAATATATAATAACTTACTATGTATTATAAAGATATGTAATATATGATAACTTACTATGTATTATAAAGATATGTAATATATAATAACTTACTATGTATTATAAAGATATGTAATATATGATAACTTACTATGTATTATAAAGATATGTAATATATGATAACTTACTATGCGAGAGAGAGAGAGAAATGGGGTTTAACGTCCACTCAACACAAACTAGGTCTTTTCGGGACTAACATATGGTTTAATTTTATTTCAATAATTCGCTTGCGCGTAGGGGTCTTTAGCAGTGGGAGGAAACCTGAGGACCCGGAGAAAACCCACGAGGTTGGACAGGCGACCCTACTCCTTGTCACGTACAACTGGGGAACTTACTATGCATTATATAGATATATAATATATAACAACTTACTATGTATTATTGAGATGTGTAATATATGATAACTTACTATGAAATAAGTTCTATAAAGCACTGATTAGCTTGAAACAGTTGTCCTCTATGATATAAACATACACCTTTTAATAACAGAGCTAATCCATAGTCATCATAGAAATATATATACTCGTCTACAAAATAAACATATTTACATTTATTACCGGTATCATAAACAGTAAACACTATCCAAATCAATCAGCACCGAATTAATCAACGCCGAATTACAGCCGAATGAGTGCACACATAAGGCAAATCCTTCGCTTGATCCACCAGTTGATTACATGAACTTTCACGTCACATGATTAAACATGGCAGCGACCATGTCTTCAAACAATCATGTGACTTCTCGATATTTGTGGTGATTAGCTAATAAATTCTACATTCAGGCAAATGCTTCAGTGAAGCGGACACACAAGGCAAATATAATTTGCCTGAATATATCAACCCTACTTATATTACAGACTTTATGATACAGTGGGCACACGCTAACCATTGAGCCACCCAACCAACCAACTAATCTATAAGACGTTGGTTTACAAGCGGTGCTCCCTAGGCACTGGGTCAGCATACCATTCGGCCACCCAACCCCCTAGCTACAAATGGACATGTTGTATTATTTATTTATTTACCTTTTTTATTTTGGAGTTGATTAATTGTTTGTTCTATAATAGTCAACATGGGATCCAACAGAGACATTTTCTGACCGATAATATTAAAACCATTCCATACATAGATTAATTCCTGAAAATAACAGACATTGGCTAAAACAAGGTCAACTGACACTGTAATCTGGGTGTCATTTAATCTTGTGTATGTAGCACTAATTTCTGTCACATTCGTTTAATATCAAATTTTTGTTAAAAATCACCAAAAATCATCTGATTTGTACTTGTGTCCAGTTTAAAGCTGACCATTCAATTTAAACAATTTGCAGTGATTTGATATTAAATGAATGTGAAAGAAATTAGTTCTAAATACACAAGATTAAATGATACCCGGGTTACAGTGATGACCCTCTGTCTCAGCTAGTTGCTACTGACTACAGGAAGAATTAAAGTTGACATGCATATACAGGTAGTGAAATATTGCATACTAAAGCCCATTTAATCTTCAAAATCGTTAAAAAGCAAATCTTTTTCCATTTAGAACAGAATGCCTGGGTTTATATAACTCACAGCGAATTGCAGGGTATATGGATCATTACTTGTCAAATCACGACATGCAGTTTACGGCCTTTTCATATTTTTGGGTGATTTGACATAGAGTGACCCATATGCCTGTCAGCAATAGAATGACCCAAGGTTCTGTTTACACACTGGTGTGCACGTAAAATATCCCTTAGCAGTTGGAATTCAATATAAGAGTAGCGCCGCTGTTTGGGCAAAATTTCCCTTATAGCATACTGTATGATGAATGCCTGTCTTCATTAGCCCAATCTGAACAGAACCAGAACAGTAGGACGTTAAATGTCATGTTGCTCCTATACTGGGCTAATGAAGGCAGGCATATGGCCTACTCTTATATCAAATTCCAACTGCCAAAGGATCTTTAACATGCAAGCCAATGAATAAACGAGACCTCGGTTTTTCGCTCCATCTGAACAACTAGACAGCTGTCCTTGTCAGGCCCTCCATCCAGCACCACTGACAAGGGGGAACCACGCCGGAAAATCAGGATGAATTTTTTCGGCCAATGCAGGGATCGAACACCCAACCTCCAGGTTAGCAAGCCAGCGTCTTACCCACTTAGTCACCGTGGCTCCCAGTAGGACGTTAAATCCCATTTCATTGGTCAATACACTTACTAGAGCTGGTAGTGTCAATCTTTCTTTCTGTTCAGCATATCTCAAAGTTTTGGCCACTGCAAATTTTTCGAATGGGAGGGACTTCCCTGCTATCCTCTGTTTCAAGTTTGGTACTTCACTTTAAAAAAATAAAAAAATCTAAATAAATATTTATAATTACAAAAGAACATGTTTTAGCTATGATAGGACAAGATAGGAAGAAGAGACATGTTTTAGCTATGATAGGATAGGATAGGAAGAACAAACATGTTTTAGTTATGATGAGAATAGATAGGCAGAACAAACATGTTTTAGTTATGATAGGATGAGATAGGAAGAACAAACTTGTTTTAGCTATGATTTGACAGTATTAAGATAGGACAGGATAGGAAGAAGAAACATGTTTTAGCTATGATAGGACAAGATAGGAATGTAGTTTAAGGGAGAATGTGTGTGTGTTGGGGGGGGGGGGGATTTTGTTTTCTCATATTCCTCATCGAATTCCATAGGAATAAATTTATTCTTAAGTTATGCAGGGAAATGTGGGTAAATTTATCTTTTATGGGACACCTGACTGAATGTTCGAGAATTTAATACTCTCAATCCCAAGAATAGTTATTTCCTACCTGAAGAGGTACGTTACATGTGCTATGGTATGTTCTGATTGGTCATCACACATCGTTAGAAAAGCTGCCTTTTGATAGGTGTACGTGGCTTTACTCCATCGACTCTCACGACATAATCGTTCAGCATATTTCATAGCTAATAACCAATCACCTTTAAAACTACAAAACAGATTTAAAAATGTCTGAATCTACAACCAACTCTCTAGACAATCAGATATTCAAGGGATTAGAACAGATGCAAAATTTAATAATCTAAATTGAAATGAAATGAAATGGGGTTTAACATCCTACTGTTCTGCTCCTGACTGGGCTAATGAAGATAGGTAAATGCCATACTGTGTGCTATGAGGGAAATTTTGCCCGGACAGCAGCACTACAGCCTACTCTTATATTGAATTCCAACTGTCAAGCGATCTTTAACGTGCATGCCAATGTGTAGACGTGACCTTGGTTTTTTGTCCCATCTGAAGGACTATACGTTGTCCCTTGCCAAGTCCTCTGTCCTGCATCACTGACAAGGGGGAACCACGCCGGAAAATCTGAATGAACTATTGTGGTTAATAATTTAAAAATAAAGACTTTGTTTATTTTAGCAGCAATATGGTACATTACAATCAAGACTATATTTTGAAAAATTCAAAGTGATTTGACTGAAATTTTCAATATATTAATTATGAAGCTGTTATAGATGTATCTTTTAAAACAAAATAATTACTGGTAATATTCTGTATAGGACATTTATAGATATATTTACATACTTCTATATATATACTATCTTCCAGATTTATTCATATACTATGCATGGCATTGATGGAAATCTAAATATCCTTTAGCAGTTGAAAATTGAATTAAGAGGAGGCTGTACTTCCTCTGTGTACAGTTCCAGATTTACCTATAGGTTTGGTAGGCTGAAACATACAGCCTCATGTTCTAGGGGACCCCAAGGAGAATGATATTTAGGCCACTGTCTTACAAGCACTGCAATCTTACAATCTTTCATCATCCTGGGATTTGTTAAATTGTGTTTACAACACACATAAGGGTGGGGGATGGGAGGGGGGTCATGACAAACAAGATGGTGTATACCTGTTTACATTAACCCCATTTTATCCAATTATTTCAGTTATGAATGTTAAGTATATCATACAGTAAACTGAGTAACACAGCGCCCCCATCACCTTTATATCAACCCTCCTCCCCACCCATCCCAGGATTATACATTGGCCCCGTCCCTCCCTCACCCCCCAACCCAGGATTATATGGTGAATTATACGTACCACTGACACCACATCAACCCCCATCCCCTCCTCTCTCCTCCCCTCCCCAAACCACCTCAGGATTATACGTACCAATGACACCACATCAACCCCCTTTCCCACCCACCCCACCACAGGATCATACGTACCAATGATACCACATCAACCCCCTTCCCCCCCCCTCAGGATTATACGTACCAATGACACCACATCAACTCCCTTCCCCTCCTCCTCACCCCAGGATTATACGTACCAATGACACAACATTAACTCCCCTCCTCCCCACCTCAGGATCATACGTACCAATGGCACCACATCAACTCCCCTCCTCCCCACCTCAGGATCATACGTACCAATGGCACCACATCAACTCCCTTCCCCTCCCCCCTCAGGATTATACGTACCAATGACACCACATCAACTCCCCTCCTCCCCACCTCAGGATCATACGTACCAATGGCACCACATCAACTCCCTTCCCCTCCCCCCTCAGGATTATACGTACCAATGACACCACATCAACTCCCCTCCTCCCCACCTCAGGATCATACGTACCAATGGCACCACATCAACTCCCTTCCCCTCCCCCCTCAGGATCATACGTACCAATGGCACCACATCAACTCCCCTCCTCCCCACCTCAGGATCATACGTACCAACGGCACCACATCAACTCCCCTCCTCCCCACCTTAGGATCATACGTACCAATGACACCACATCAACCCCCTTTCCCACCTACCCCACCATACGATTATACGTACCAATGGCACCACATCAACTCCCCTCCTCCCCACCTCAGGATCATACGTACCAACGGCACCACATCAACTCCCCTCCTCCCCACCTTAGGATCATACGTACCAATGACACCACATCAACCCCCTTTCCCACCTACCCCACCATACGATTATACGTACCAATGGCACCACATCAACCCCCTCCTCCCCACTCCAGGATTATACGTACCAATGGAACCACATAAACTCCCCTCCTCCCCACCTCAGGATCATACGTACCAATGACACCACATCAACCCCCTTTCCCACCTACCCCACCACAGGATTATACGTACCAATGGCACCACATCAACCCCCCTCCTCCCCATTCCAGGATCATACGTACCAATGGCACCACATCAACTCCCTTCCCCTCCCCCCTCCAGGATTATACGTACCAATGACACCACATCAACCCCCTTTCCCACCTACCCCACCACAGGATCATACGTACCAATGACACCACATCAACTCCCCTCCTCCCCACCTCAGGATCATACATACCAATGGCACCACATCATCCCATCCCCACCCCCCTCAGGATTATACGTACCAATGGCACCACATCAACTCCCAGAAACATAAATGATGAAACTGTCTCCATTCAGACTGGGAATCTATAGATTCTTCAAATTTATAAATAGCCTGAAATCATCAAAAATATCCAAATTTATAAATAGCCTGAAATTATCAAAAGTATCCAAATTTATAAATAGCCTGAAATCATCAAAAATATCCAAATTTATAAACAGCCTGAAATTATCAAAAGTATCCAAATTTATAAATAGCCTGAAATTATCAAAAATATCCAAATTTATAAATAGCCTGAAATCATCAAAAATATCCAAATTTATAAATAGCCTGAAATCATCAAAAATATCCAAATTTATAAATAGCCTGAAATCATCAAAAATATCCAAATTTATAAATAGCCTGAAATCATCAAAAATATCCAAAGTTATAGACAGCCTATAATTATCAAAATATACAAATCTTGGACAATCTGCTTAAAACACAGATCCTATATCGTTTCACAGAGATTTGTTGAAACAGTCTGCTAGTACAGTACTCTAGATGGTCCCTATTGGCGAATAATGTGGGATACGCTGCCTTGTTATTTGTTATATTTAACTAGCCATCACTGGAATGATGAAAGTTAAGTATCCTCCAGAAGCATAAAACACAGCAAATGACAACAAGATGACTAGTCATCAACATCCCGCGCCCTTGCACTTGTTTGGAAGAAATAAGGAAAAATAACTTGTTTATGCTATTGGTAATCAATATAAAAATGTATCAGATTTCGCAAACAGTGTCACTGGTCCTAATATTGTGGCCCTGTTTAGTAGATATTGCTCTCTATTTCTGAAAACTAATGACTGATTGATATTTACTAGAAGATTTGAGATAATTTATGACATTAAGCTCTGGTTTTAAAAATTAGACATAACTACATAGAAAATAGAGATATTTTGCAAGTGGAGGGAACTGGAACTTTAGACAAATCTCATATTCCGACACATGGAATATCAATTCACAGAATTTCATACTCTGATCACAGTAGCTCGGCAAGGCAGGGTCGCTACTCCCTGTAAGGTTTGCACAACAACCTTTGCCTACCTCAATTAGCTGCTGTATGTTAAACAATAAACTTATACATCAGAAAATAAAATACTATAATAGGTTAATGTTTGTACAAAGTTTTAAAAAGATTTCTTGAACAGATAATAAAATATGCTCCAGATACAAAATCAGGACGGAAGGCTGGATTTCAGAAAATAAAATAATGGGTAAAATTATTTTAAAGGTATCTTGAACAGTCAAATGTGTTTCCATGGATAAAATTATCAAATCTGAGAAATTCAAAATAAGTGCCATGAAGATATCTTGAACGATTTATGAGATATGCTCCAGAAACAAAATTGTACACCAAAAACTAAGTAAAATTTGTTTCCATGGAAACACACAAAATATCAATCCCAGGAATTCCTGTATAGCAAAAGGCACAACTACTGTAATGGACTGATGTGTGTGCAAAGTTTCAGAAAGATATCTTGAACCGTTTATGAGATATGCTCCGGAAACAAAATTGTACACCAAAAACTAAGTCAAATTTGTTTCCATGGAAACACAAAAAATATAAATCCAAGAAATTCCTAAATAGCAAAAGGCACAACTACTGTAATAGGTTGATGTGTGTGCAAAGTTTCAGAAAGATATCTTGAACCGTTTATGAGATATGCTCCGGAAACAAAATTGTACATCAAAAACTAAGTCATTTTTGTTTCCATGGAAATACAAAGAAATAAAAATCCCAGAAATTCCTAAATAGCAAAAGGCACAACTACTGTAATAGGTTGATATGTGTGCAAAGTTTCAGAAAGATATCTTGAATGGTTTATGAGATATGCTCCGGAAACGAAATCGGACGGACGAACCCCATTTCAATATCCCTCCCTAACTTCGTTCGGCGCGGGATAAAAACAATCCAAATAGTTGTTCAAGCAGCAAATATTGAGTTGTTTGTTATTCGTTTTTCACCTCTTTATTCAGGATTCACATACGAAGGTGTTCAGGTATCTTCAGGATTTAAATAAAAACGACAACTGGACAACAACAGATTGCAAGGTGTTCCCTAGCTGTAGAATAATACTGGATAAATGATGTATAGTCAGTAAATAAACCAGATTGTTGTTCAAGTGGTAAATAACGAATAAGGGGATATTAGAGGTGAATAACAAGAAGAGCCATCCTGTTATTCACCACTTGAACAACAATCAGGTTTATTTACTTACTACATGATCTTGATATTCTGGGTTGTTTATCTTCTATATCATTTAACTGGTTTCGCTGTCATATGGTACAGTATATATGTTGTGATATGGTACAGTATGCTGTGATATGGTACAGTATGTATGCTGTGATATGGTACAGTATGTATGCTGTGATATGGTATAGTATGTATTGTGATATGGTACAGTATGTATTGTGATTGGTACAGTATGTATGCTGTGATATAGTATGTATGCTGTGATGTGGTATAGAATGTATGTTGTGATATGGTACAGTATGTATATGCTGTGATACGGTACAGTATGCTAGAAAGGTCTACAACCCATCTTCAGATTTAACACCTAATAAAACTTACCTCATCAATGTTGCCCTTTACTTCTTCAATTCGACCAGCAAAAAACAAGAATAAAGCACCCTAAAAAAAACAATAAAATAATATATCAAATATATCACAGGTCTAACCAATATCACTCGGCTTTATGAGGTGCCCATACTGATATAGGCACGTTGATCGCTGACTTCGTATTACGCCCAGTGGAACAGGATTGTATCAAATCTAATCCACAAAATAGAAATGAATATAATGACTGAATATTATAGGATTAAACAGTCTTTATGGAGGACAATATGGATAATGCACGGAAATGGATTTTTGTACATATAAATGATTTAAATACCTTGCTAATTGTAGGAGTAATTAAAGTAATACATCAAATCACCAAAACACAAGACTTTTATACTAATAATTAATTTTAAATGAAATGAAATGGGGTTTAACACTGTTCAGGGCAAATGAAGACAGGCATACGCCATACATGTTATGAGTCAAATTTTGCCCGGACAGTAGCACTATGTCCTACTCTTATATCAAATTTGCCAGGCCTTCCATCCTACTCGCCGAGCCACTGTGGCCCTCGCAATGTTTCAACAATGATGATCTAGCTGTTATCAAGTAAAATATGAGTAATGTTTCAACAATAGTAGTTATCAAGCATAATATGGATATCATAAATGGATCTATATACATTTATGCTTAAGAACAATAGGAGAATACTTGTAACAGTGATTATATTCATATACATTATTTTGTGTTTTATAAACAAAGTTAATATGAAACATTATATATAGAAAGATTGTTTAATATGAAATATTAGATATAGAAATATTATTTAAACATACATTATGACGTCACATTAATAATGATGTCATTGTACTAATCATATGAAACATACATTATACAAGAGCTAAATCTGTCTATTGCAGCTCTTTCTTTAGGCCTGAAATGTTATCTAAATTATTAATTAGACATTAATTAACTTATCCAGGCCATAATCAACTCTAGATGGCATCGCTAGCATGTGATCTTTAGTGGATTATGAGCCGATTTACTGCATAAGGATTAAATGGATAATTGAGCCTATGATGTTTATCGTACTGACTTATCTAGTTTTTAACTATTATAGTGAGAACTGCCAACTCGTTATCGAATCTTCCATAATGTATCTTTAATTGGAAATATTAGATATAGAAACATTATTTAAAAGGAAATATTAGATATAGAAAAACTATTTAATAGGAAATATTAGATATAGAAAGATTATTTAATAAGAAACATTAGATATAGAAAGACTATTCAATAAGAAATATTAGATATAGAAACATTATTTAATAGGAAATATTAGATATAGAAACATTATTTAATAGGAAATATTAGATATAGAAACATTATTTAATAGGAAATATTAGATATAGAAAGATTATTTAATAGGAAATATTAGATATATAAAGATTATTCAATAGGAAATATTAGATATAGAAAAACTATTTAATAGGAAATATTAGATATAGAAAGATTTACCTTAGGATAATTCATTAAACATGGTTTTAATATTTCCGATGCTAATTCAATATCTCCATCACCCAGTCCTACAAGATATATTGATATATTATAAAAATATACAGAAGCTTGAATATAAGGTGCTGGTCGCTGACAATGTCAGGCACAAATTGAAGGCACCTGTCGCTGACGTGCATGTTATAGAATATTGACAGTTTGAAATTGATGAAGTCTAGGCCTTAATGCTATTGAGTAGGCAAGATTCCTCAGTCAGAAGTGACAGAGTTCACTGTATAACTGGACATTTATTAAAATATAAACACAGAAAAGAGAAATTTCTGTGTATAATAAAATAACAGACAACAGAAGATTTGTACCTGTTAAAAGTTTATGTTGAAATTTTTAATAAATGTCCAGTTATATATGTTAGGTACAGCTAGTAATCTGACTGGGTAATCTTGCCTATTCAGTGGTATTTATATATGTTAGGTACAGCTAGCAATCTGACTGGGTAATCTTGCCTATTCAGTGGTATTTATATATGTTAGGTACAGCTAGCAATCTGACTGGAGAATCTTGACTACTCGGTGATATTTATATATGTTAGGTACAGCTAGCAATCTGACTGGAGAATCTTGCCTACATTGTCGAGAGTTCTTAACGCTACCACTATAGAACAATACTTTACACTACAACGTGGGAATCGTGTAGTTGTGCTGTTTTAACAGGAGTTTCAAACCATTGTTGACAAATTGATCAAGTTTATTAAGAATCCCCCAAATATTGGGTTCGTAGATTAGATGTGTGTTGGGTTGACAACTGTTTACTTTCACTAACGGTGTCAATTAAAGCGAGAATTTCAAATTTTCTAAGAAAGTCAAAACATAACTATTTCTATGTCTTTTGCTCAATAGGTTTTCAAATCACTATTATACGATCATGGGCATTATTTCCCACCCTTAAAAATCTATGACACAGGAAATAACAACACAATTACCTCCTCTGTTTTGCTATTGACAACATAGGGCAGCCATTTTCCAACGTTGGAATTTGAAGTTAAAAATGATATTTTTGCCAATTTCTCAGCTGGCAATAGCGAATTACAGGATTAATAGGATTATTCTTTAACAAGGTAGGACTGTTTATAGATACCATCTATTTTAAGGCTTTATTTTAATACATTTTAAAAATATAACTTGAAAATTTGCAATTTCCGCTTTAATTAATCATTCTGTTGGGAAATTGTGTACTATAGAACAGAAAATGAAATGAAATGGGGTTTAACATCCTACTGTTCTGCTTCGACTGGCTAATGAAGAGGGGCATACGCCATACAGTGTGCTATGAGAGAAATTTTGCCTGGACAGTGGCACTATGGCCTACTCTTATATCGAACTCACACTGCCAAGGAATCTTTTACGTGCATGCCAATGTATACACAGGAGCTCGTTTTTTTGTCTCATCCAAATGACTAGACATTTGTCCTTGTCAGGCCCTCCATCCTGTACCACTGACAAGGGGAAACCACGTCGGAAAATCCTGATGAACTATCTCGGCCAATGCAGGGATCGAACACCCGACCTCCAGGCCAGCGAGCCAGCGTCCTACCCTCTTAGCCATCGTGGCTCCCGGTACTATAGAACAATACTTTACCTAGAACATATGTTACAACTGTATGATATGCCACCAGTACTATAGAACACAACGGTCCTCGTAAACTACTCTGCATCTTACAACCATTCTCTAATTCAGATAAACCTAATTGCTGAAAATATAACACAAAGTGGTGTAAAGTATTTTCGTGAATTACCATATAGCTCATGAATATGAGAGAAAGAGAGAGAGAGAGAGAGAGAGAGAGAGAGACTTACAAACTAGGTTATTTCAGGATGAGGAAATAACCCACAAGCTTGGACAGATGATCTACACCTTGTCAAGTACAGAGAGAGAGAAATGGGGTTTAATGTCCACACGACACAAACTAGGTCATTTCGGGACTAACATATGGTTAAATTTTATTTCAATAAGTCGCTTGCGCGTAGGGGTCTTTAGCAGTGGGAGGAAACCGGAGGACCCGGAGAAAACCCATGAGGTTGGATTGTCAAGTACAAGCCTGGAATCAAAACCAAACCACTTGACACAATGACAGACCTTGTGGTCAAATAAACACATCTTAGATCATTCGGTCAAACACCCCTCTGTAACAATATAAAGGTATTATGTTATTTCATTCGGTCACCCAACAACCTGTAACTACATCAAGGTATTATGACATAGATAGGCCAACATTTTCATTGATAATAAGGCAATGTGTAAAATATTGGTTTGTCAGATGAGACAACTTTTGGTCTTCGAAGGAATTATCAGTGAGCAGAAATTCGCCCAAGTATCTGTTATCGCTCGTTACTTCAGTCAGTTATAGGTTGGACAGGCGACCCTATACCTTGTCATGTACAAGCGGGGAATTGAAACCACATCACTTGACTCAATGACATACCTTATGGTTTCATGTGTACATGTTAAACCACTAGACCACCCAACAACCCTTTATGTAGAGAAGTCAGAACCACTTGACCAACTACCCAATTAATCTATCATAGAATTATTAATACTAACCTTGTTGCCAGAAAATCCTACAAATTCCAACAACTTCATAACTTTACCAGGTAATAATGAGATCATCTGTAATCATAATAATAATATATCTGTAATAACAAACTGTAATCATAATAATAATATTTCTACAATAACAAGCTGAAATCATATATCTACAATAACAAGCTGTAATCATATATCTATAATAACAAGCTGTAATCACATATCTATAATAACAAGCTGTAATCATATATCTACAATAATAAGCTGTAATCATATATCTATAATAACATACTGTAATCATATATCTATAATAACATACTGTAATCATATATCTATAATAACAGGCTATAATCATATATCTGTAATAACAAGCTGTAATCATATATCTATAATAACATACTGTAATCATATATCTGTAACAGACTGTAATAATATAACAATAATAACCAATAAGTCTAACAAAATAAAGACACCCACCATCCCCCATGCAATAAGCCTTCTAACAATTAAAGGCACCATGCTCCAATCCTAACAAATAAATCTACCAAATTAATAAGCCTTTTAACAATTAAAGGCACCATGCTCCAACCCTAACAAATAAACTTACCAAATTAAAGGCACCAACACCCATCCTTACTCCACTCTCAAAATGTAACCGATGTTCTTCATCCGTCCATTTCCTTGATTTTAATATTTTATTGCATTCTCTAAAATAATGAAATAAACATCAATTAAAAATATAAAATAATTCTAAGACTAACAGTAACAATACAATCTGAGTAAAACACAGATCATATTTCATTCCGTTTTTATAGTTCAAAATGGAAGAGTTGTTATCGTTGACGTGTTCTGAATGGTGTGAAGGCTTAGCCAATGAAATCAGGTTGAGTAACAATAGTGGGCTGAAGAATCCCTGGAATGGTGCAGGTCAGTGTGGATCTCAATGAATAATCCCAAAATAAACACTAACAAGACAGTGTAGACTATATAAAAGACAGTGTAGACTGTATAAAAGACGGTGTAGACTGTATAAAAGACAGTGTAGACAATATAAAAGACGGTGTAGACTATATAAAAGACAGTGTAGACTATATAAAAGACAGTGTAGACTATATAAAAGACGGTGTAGACTATATAAAAGACAGTGTAGACTATATAAAAGACGGTGTAGACTGTATAAAAGACAGTGTAGACTATATAAAAGACGGTGTAGACTATATAAAAGACAGTGTAGACTATATAAAAGACGGTGTAGACTATATAAAAGACAGTGTAGACTATATAAAAGACGGTGTAGACTGTATAAAAGACAGTGTAGACTATATAAAAGACGGTGTAGACTATATAAAAGACGGTGTAGACTGTATAAAAGACGGTGTAGACTATATAAAAGACAGTGTAGACTATATAAAAGACGGTGTAGACTGTATAAAAGACAGTGTAGACTATATAAAAGACAGTGTAGACTGTATAAAAGACAGTGTAGACTATATAAAAGACAGTGTAGACTATATAAAAGACAGTGTAGACTATATAAAAGACGGTGTAGACTATATAAAAGACAGTGTAGACTATATAAAAGACAGTGTAGACTATATAAAAGACGGTGTAGACTATATAAAAGACGGTGTAGACTGTATAAAAGACGGTGTAGACTATATAAAAGACAGTGTAGACTATATAAAAGACGGTGTAGACTGTATAAAAGACAGTGTAGACTATATAAAAGACAGTGTAGACTGTATAAAAGACAGTGTAGACTATATAAAAGACAGTGTAGACTATATAAAAGACAGTGTAGACTGTATAAAAGACAGTGTAGACTATATAAAAGACAGTGTAGACTGTATAAAAGACAGTGTAGACTATATAAAAGACAGTGTAGACTATATAAAAGACAGTGTAGACTATATAAAAGACAGTGTAGACTATATAAAAGACGGTGTAGACTATATAAAAGACAGTGTAGACTATATAAAAGACGGTGTAGACTGTATAAAAGACGGTGTAGACTATATAAAAGACAGTGTAGACTATATAAAAGACGGTGTAGACTGTATAAAAGACAGTGTAGACTATATAAAAGACAGTGTAGACTGTATAAAAGACAGTGTAGACTATATAAAAGACAGTGTAGACTATATAAAAGACAGTGTAGACTATATAAAAGACGGTGTAGACTGTATAAAAGACAGTGTAGACTATATAAAAGACAGTGTAGACTATATAAAAGACAGTGTAGACTATATAAAAGACAGTGTAGACTGTATAAAAGACAGTGTAGACTATATAAAAGACGGTGTAGACTATATAAAAGACAGTGTAGAAAAGACGGTGTAGACTGTATAAAAGACAGTGTAGACTATATAAAAGACGGTGTAGACTGTATAAAAGACAGTGTAGACTATATAAAAGACAGTGTAGACTATATAAAAGACAGTGTAGACTGTATAAAAGACGGTGTAGACTATATAAAAGACAGTGTAGACTATATAAAAGACGGTGTAGACTGTATAAAAGACAGTGTAGACTATATAAAAGACAGTGTAGACTATATAAAAGACGGTGAAGACTATATAAAAATGCGCTTCTGCCTATTCTTCATCGGATTACAACTGTAAAAGTTGGTTCGGTTGTACAGTGGGTCAGTGAGTAAGATGCTGGATCGCTAACTGTGGAGGCCCTGATGTTGAACTATCTGCATGTGAATGACATTTAGTTCAAAATGCGGTTGTGACCATCCGTACCATGCAGTGGGGATAGTTCAGAAATGGCCGACAAGACTGACACGTAAGTAGATTTGTTTGAAAACTATTATAAAATTGTTTCTTGCCGTTACACCAAGGTCCAACCGTATTATAGGGGCCATGATAACACCAAAAAGATAGTGAATGAGTGTTGGGGTATAGATCTTAACAAGTTTGATGTTTTGACAGACTAGGATCTTCTTATTCAAATTAAATATATATACTATTTAGGCCCACCACAAAAAACTTTGTGAAATGATCTTGAGTGACATAATTCCAATATTCTGATACTGACAGATGAAATTTAATATAAGAGTAGGCCGTAGTGCCGTTGTATGCCCGTCTTCATTAGCCCAGTAGGATGTTAAGTACTGTTTCATTTCATTTCAAATATATGTGAAAACTGATGAAATAAACTCTTTCCATTTTGGTAAACTTTCAAGATGTTATTCAGTACACTCAATACTACCAGAAACCAGCAAAAAACCTTGTTGTGTAATTTTTTAGGGATTGACACCTTTTTTTTTCTCTCATAAATTTCATGGTATAACGATCTGCCACAGTGACTCAGTGATTGTGGAGCTAGTTAAGTAACCAAGACGTCTTGTGGCAGTGAAATACTACCAGAAACCAGCAAAAAACATTATCGTGTAATTTTTTAGGTGTTGGCACCTTTTTTTTTCATAAATTTCATAGTATAACAAAATCTGCCACAGTGACTCAGTGATTGTGGAGCTGGCCATGAATTAACTAAATATTTCTACTTACTTATATATTTTATAACATTCACGTATTTTGAGTCCACCTTTAACAAAACTGATTAAATTCTCGTCTTGTATAAACGTGAGTAATGCACGTAACAACAGACATTCAGCATAACATATTTCAGCATGGATTTCCTCTAAAAAATATAACAAACATTTAAACATAATTATGTAAGATTTAGATAAAGACCTAGCCATTCTTGCTATAATAGTTTGAAAACAGATAATGTAAAATGAATAATTTGAAAATTTCATTCAAATTACTCTATTGCGAGCGAAGCTATTAGCCTTTGATGGTTTGACAAGACGTGTGCAATAATTTCAACCACCTTACTGGTTGTTCGAAGCTAAGTCTCGCTCCTCCATTTTTAAATTAAATTAACATATGGCTGAACCATTCTACTCTATTTAATATCAGAGGAATCTGATGCCATCAAGAGTTGATTATGATCTGGATAAGTTAATTAATGTCTAATTAATGTTTAATATATCCCTCTTTAAATCTTCCATTCAAAAGGATTTTTCGGAAATTTTTCATGGCCTTCTTTTTTATCCAAATGAATCCAAATCCTTGCAAATGGGAACAAAGATTGAAAATCTACGATGGTTCGTCTTGGCACAAACCCAAGACTTTCTGGTAGAGAGTCTGCTCGACTCCCGCAGCCTGCCAGCCCCACCCCCACCCTAGGATACAAGCCTGGGACATTCTAGTAGAGAGTCTACTCGACTACCTCAGCCCTCCCCTACCCCTTAAATTAATAAGGAAAAATTTACCTTCTGAAAGATCGTTGTAATTAACTTTGGTTAAAGATTTACGGAATGACCCCATGACGGTTGTTTTCCGTCGAAATCTGTTACAAACAGCAACAGATTTTTTAATGGTCTGTATAGCTGTTTCTATATCTGTCTGTAATAGAAAAGATATATAAACAATCACATAATACACAGGACAGAACAATCTAGGGTGTCTCCAGATATATAAACACTCACAGAATACACAGAGACACAACAATCGAGGTGTCTCCAGATATACAAACCACCACGCAATACACCACAGAGACAAAACAATCTAGGGCGTCTCCAGATATACAAACCATCACAGAATACACAGAGACACAACAATCTAGGTGTCTCCAATCACACAACATTATGACGAGACCATTATCAACTCTCGATGTCATCAGATGGCTCTTATTTTAAGTAGATTAGAACAGTTTGGCCATTTAATTTAAAAATGGAGCAGCGAGGCTTTGCCACAAACAACCAATACCATGGTTACAATCAATGCACACATCTTGACAAACCTTTAAAGGCTAATATCTTCAATCAGGATAAAGTAATTTGAATGAAATTTTCAATATATACATTTTGCATTATCTATTTTTTAACTATTATAACAAGAACGGCCAGGTCTTTGTCTAAATCTTGGGGGGTTGGATGGCCGAATGGTTAGCATGTGCGTGCTGTATCATACGACCTGTCATTGAGTCAACTGGCATGGTTTCGAATCCCCGGTTGTACGTGACAAGGAGTATGGTCGCCTGTCCAACCTCGTGGGTTTTCTCCGGGTCCTCCGGTTTCCTCCCACTGCTAAAGACCACTACGCGTAAGGGAATTATTGAAATAAAATTAAACCATATCTTAGTCCCGAAATGAATTAGTTTGTGTCGAGTGGACGTTAAACCACATTTCTCTCTCTCTCTTTGTCTAAATCCTACATTTGGTGCACTTATCCACCATTGCGGAGCCACGGTGGCTAGGTGGTTAAGACGCTGGCTCGCTAGCCAGGAGGTCGGGTGTTTGATCCCTGCATTGGCCGACAAAGTTCATCCAGATTTTCCGGTGTGGTTTTCCCTTGTCAGTGGAGCAGAACTGAGGTCCTGTGTATATATTGGAATGCACGTAAAAGATCCCCTGGCAGTTGGAATTCGATATAAGAGTAGGCGATAATGCTGCTGCCCATGCAAAATTTCCCTCATAGCACACTGTATGGCGTAGGCCCGTCTTCATTAGCCCAGTATAGGAGCAGAACAGTAGGACGTTAAACCCCATTTCATTTTATTTCATTTCATCCACCATGGCAGGTGTGTTAGCCCTCACAAAATGATGAAAGGATAATACTCTTACCATGTCAAATGTCATGACAGCTTGAAGATATAAAATGGTTCCATAACCTAAAGCAGGATACATACTCTTCAACGAACTACAAATATATAAATAGAATCACATGGAATACACAAATATATAAATAGAATCACATGGAATACACAAATATATAAATAGAATCACATGGAATACACAAATATATAAATAGAATCACATGGAATACACAAATATATAAATAGAATCACATGGAAGAGATAAATAGAATCACATGGAAGAGATAAATAGAGTCACGTGGAATACATGACTGGTTAAATAAACATTTTTACATTCATTAGTCAGACTTAGAATATGGAAGTTTGGGTGGCCATACAGTCTAATGCTAAGTTCCCATTGTCGTGCGATGCGTAAGATTAGGATTGTCCCTACCGAGCCAACGATCTGGTACGTGCAGATACGTTCTGGTACATTTCGATACCATCAGCACGATTGCTATGACCAACCTCAATATATGATAAGACCTGATAGGATCACCACGATTACTTCACTATTAAAACCACGATTTCAATCGTAGTGCGAATCGTGATAGTGGGAACCTAGCATTCCATGTCATGTGACATGGTTGCCTGTCCAACCTTGTGGATTTTCTCCGGGACCTTCAGTTTCCTGCAACTGCTAAAGGCTCATATGTCAAAGCGAATTGTCCGGGAATTAGTTGTCAGGAGACAAGTTGCCAGGGGACGAATTGTCCCGTACCTGCGCCACGGCGTACTCTTATATCAAATTCCAACTCTCATTGGTTTACGTGCACACCAATGTGTACACAGGACCTTAATTGGTTTTCGACTCATCGGGATGACTACATGCTGTAACTTGCCAGGCTCTACACCCTGCACAATAATATTTTTATTTTTAATAAGATGAAACTATAAACAAGACTTACTGTGGTTCCATTCTCTCCTTCGCATCCGTAAATTTGTTATTAAGGAATAACTTAAGGGCAATACTTGTCTCTGATATGGACGTTGCCAAGTCCATATCACTTGGCCTGTAATATATGATGTGATAAGGTTTGATGTGACAGTATAGATTTCGACGAGAGTGTTTCGATAATCGGAACACAGAGGTGACTATATTGTATTAGTAAGTGCAGGAGGACTGCACTAAGTGCAAAACAAATCAAACCTGCGAACACGACAAAACACAAAGACATTGCAAGAAATAAACAGCAAATATCAAAACAAGTGAATGGATCTGGGGACTAGCCATAAGCATCAACTGTGATGTACAGTCCTGGGCCTGTAATTTGACTCTTTTTTAAGGACCGAGGTCAGATTGTAGTCTGTTAAGAAACTGAATGAGTAGGTCTATCATACTTTGGTGGTGTATCTTTGTTGACCTGGTGGTTCCATTTAAAGAGAAGGACTTTGGACCGGTTTCGTATCGCTTGGAAAATCCAATGCTCTAAATTTAATATAAAGGTAAATAACTTTGTGTAGAATATCTTCCGTCAAAGAAATATATCCCACTAATGTAGAAGTAATCTATTATTATCCATTACTAATGATAAAAGTAATCTATTATTATCCATCACTAATGATAGCAGTGATCTATTTACCATCACTAATGATAGAAGTAATCTATTATTATCCATCACTAATGATAGAAGTAATCTATTATCCATCACTAATGATAGAAGTAATCTATCATCCATCACTAATGATAGCAGTAATCTATTTACCATCACTAATGATAGAAGTAATCTATTATTATCCATCACTAATGATAGCAGTAATCTATTATCCATCACTAATGATAGAAGTAATCTATTATTCATCACTAATGATAGAAGTAATCTATTATCCATCACTAATGACAGAGGTAATCTATTATCCATCACTAATGATAGAAGTAATCTATTATTATTCATCACTAATGATAGAAGTAATCTATCATCCATCACTAATGATAGCAGTAATCTATTATCCATCACTAATGATAGAAGTAATCTATTATCCATCACTAATGATAGAAAAGTAATATATTATTATCCATCACTAATGATAGCAGTAATCTATTATCCACCACTAATGATAGCAGTAATCTATTTACCATCACTAATGACAGAGGTAATCTATTATCCATCACTAATGATAGAAGTAATCTATTATTATTAAGTATCACTAATGATAGAAGTAATCTATCATCCATCACTAATGATAGCAGGAATCTATTATCCATCGACTAATGATAGAAGTAATCTATTATCCATCACTAATGATAGCAGTAATCTATTATCCATCACTAATGATAGCAGTAATCTATTATCCATCACTAATGATAGAAAAGTAATATATTATTATCCATCACTAATGATAGCAGTAATCTATTATCCACCACTAATGATAGAAGTAATCTATTACCTATCACTAATGGTAGAAGACAGTAATCCATTACCTATCACTAATGGTAGAAGTAATCTATTATCCATCACTAATGATAGAATAGGCCTAATCTATTATCCATCACTAATGATAGAACTAATCTGTTATAATCCATATCTACTTACAGATTAATCTTTTCTGCAGCATCTTCAAACTCCTGAAAAGATAAACAAATAAAGAAAAAAAACCCAGTCTATTAAAGGCAATGGTTCAATTCCACCACAGAGACTTTATTTAAGCTTTTCAGGGATGTACACTCCAGTCCATTTCAGTATGTGTCGCCAAAGAAGATACGTGGCCGCAACAGTACACTTCACAGCAAATCGGGGAAATTGTATAAAATTTCCAAATGTGTGATAAAAATACAAAACTTAAACCTTTCAGCCAGGAAATTATAGCCTACTTAGAAAAAAATCATCTACCAATCCTGTACAAAACTATTGTCATGTGAAAAAAACTACAGAATGAATTTGTTTTCCTGTTGCATTCTATAGCATTCTATAGAATCCAACAAAATTCCATAGGGGTCTACAATTTTTCTATAGGATTTTTTCATACGCCTTAGCCTTAAAGGAGCTAAATCGCTAACATTTAGGACCTAGAAATTGACACAAGTGGGTCGCAACTCATATAATACTGTAATATGAATGTATGATATACATTCAATGGTTTCCGTTTTTACTCTAATTTCAAATCAGTTATGTTTCACGAAATAAGCCCGCAGTCTCAATTGAATGCAAATTTCTAGCACCTGGTTATTCCAGTCTACATACGCCGTTTGGTTTGGTGCAATATGCCTAGCCTCGTTCCCAGAGTCTCTTGCTAGAACTGAGGCTGAAACACATTATGGTACACGATTCGTGTACCAATGGCAAAATGTTTATTTTGTCTTAAATATTGGATATCAGAAGCCCATCTTTTTCCGGTAAGATCACAGCATCAATGTACATTTAAATTGACAAATAATTTGTGTTTTCAATGTTGAAGATTTTGGATGATATTGAGTTAGAGACTTAGCTACTTTAATAAGAAGGGTCCGCTGCAGGAGGACGTAGCCATATTTATTACAATTAGGTAAAATTTAATTGTATTATTTGTGTATAATCCATTAAATGTTCTAGATTTAAAATAAAGAAAGTCGTAGCATTTCTATTATGGGTTGTTTTTATTTTTTTTCTGAAGGTATCTATTGGTCATTGAATCATGAATGGTGTTCGTGTACATGTTTTGGTGATATTCGTTCAAAAGCCATAAGGGCAATGGTAATCCTGTTCAACAAACCTCGTCATCGTCTTGTTTCTCCAATTCGGCTCGTAATTCTTGTTCGTCCATCTGAAGATTAAGACATATGGAGGAATTAAATTATGTTTATGTAATCTAACAACTTTATCATTAATTACATTTATTAAATACTAATTTTTATGAGCAGACGAAATCGGAAGTTCGCTGAGAGTTACCTATTTTTGCTACTTCCTGTTAAAGAAGACAACTTCCGGTGGAAATTTGACTCGTGTCGGTGAGAAAGTCAACGTTGAAGAAGTTCAATTCTTTTGATATTCCTGTTCCAGTATCTTAAAAATATGTCGAACGAGGCGAAAAACAACGTGAACGACCCAAGGCGTCCAAATAAAATTATTCGGTTAGTAAAAGAAATAACGTACTAGTTTATATTCTACTTCTAGTTTTAGGAACGGTCACAAAATTCTGCTACAATGTTGATAATGAATTAGGCCTATTATAAATTTGTGTCAGATATGGCGAGAAATGATTTTCATATTGCAGCTTAAAGGAGCTAAATCGCTAATATTTGGGACCTAGAAATTGACCCAAATGGGTCGAAACGGATATAATAATCTAATCTGATTGTATATAAACTGATTTACATTCAATTGTTTCCTTTTTGACTCTAATTTCAAATCAGTTATATCCAGCGAAAAACAGCATGTGTCTCAACCCTATAGCAATTTTTAGCGTCTGGTTATTCCAGTCTATTAAGCAGGCTCTCCAGCTGAATATGTCTAGCCTCGTTCTTTCTGGTCACTTGTTGCAAATGACGCTAAAACGCACTATGGTACACGATTCGTGTACCAATGGTAAAATGTTTATTTTGTCTTACATGTAAATATTGGATATCAGAAGCCTGCCTTTTCCTGGTAAGATCACAACATCAGTGTTGATTTGAATTGACAAATAATTTGTATTTTCAACGTGTAAGACTTTGGATGATATTGACTTAGAGACTTAGCTACTTTAATAGGAACAGTGATAGGACACCGTCTGATCAGACACTCTTCCGAATGGAACTAGTCCAGAATTAGTTACTATACTTGTAACGTTAAACGCAAGTTCAAATAGGTTCAAACGCACAATTGTCAACACAGTGACATATCATAGGACATACAGTTTGTATTGGAATAAGTAATTCTATGACAAATAGTGAAGACTGGACCACTAAAATGGTTACTGAACAGTTTTTCTTTGTGGTTATGCGTTCTACATTTGCATAGCGATGTTTCTTGTAATGCCGTATTACTCAAGCCGCCATGACACCGGCCAGTTGAAATTTCGCGTAGCAGTTGGGTTTCATCAAATCATATAATTATGCGGTAAGGCTTCACATTTATTTCAATGGGAATTGATTTATTATATGTTAAGCTATGTGCAGTACTGTTTTGGGTCAGTTTATGTGTAAATTAAAGGAGCTAAATCGCTAACATTTGGGACCTAGAAATTGACAAAAGTGGGTCCCAACACATATAATACTGTAGTATGAATGTATATAAACTGATTTACATTCAATGGTTTCCGTTTTTACTCCAATTTCAAATCATTTATGTTCGGCGAAATAAGCCAGCAGTCTCAAGCGAGTGCAAATTTCTAGCGTCTGGTTATTCCAGTCTACATAAGCCGTTTGATTTGGTGCAATGTGTCTAGCCTCGTCCCTCGAGTCTCTTGATACAACTGGGGCTGAAGCGCATTATGGTACACGATTCGTGTACCAATGGTAAAATGTTTATTTTGTCTTAAATATTGGATATCAAAAGCCCATCTTTTTCCGGTAAGATCACAACATGAATGTTGATTTAATTTGACAAATAAATCGCGTTTTCAATGTTGAAGATTTTGGATGATATTGAGTTAGAGACTTAGCTACTTAAAGGGAGCTATAGGCCAGTAACCTTTTTGTAGTCATTTGACTAAAAAACTTGCGCAATGGAACTCTGTAGAACGAGCCACTACTGTGGCTGGAGTAAGGCGGAAGACATCAGTAGTGGTACCATTTCTAGTTCAGAATGGCATTTAAAGCTACAATTTCATATTTTTAAGTTATATTTTTAAAATGTATTAAAATAAAGCCTTCAAATCGACGCTATGTATAAACAGTCCTACCTTGATAAAGAATAATCCTATAATTCACTATTGCCAGTTAAGAAATTGGCAAAAATATCATTTTCAACTTCAAATTCAAATGTTTGAAGATAGCTATTCCATGGTAGGGAATAGAAAAACAAGGGAGGGAATTGTGTTATTTCCGGTGTGAAACATTTTTAAGTGTGAGAATGATACCTATGATACCTATGTCTGCGATATCACCTCGGTAGAAGCGGACGTAAAATACAACTAACTAACTAACTAACCTATGATCGTATAATAGTGAGTTGACAACCTATTGAGCAAAAGACATAGAAATAATTATGTTTTGACTTTCTTAGAAAATATGAAATTCTCGCTTTAACACGTTCTACACTGCGACACCTGAGCAGAATCAAAGTTTTCAATCTTTTTGAGAGGCTAGACTGTTTTATCAACCAGGGATACATGTATGTGTCTATTGGCTAGAAACTTTTTTAAAAAATGCGAGTTTTGGATGCATTTAGCCATCCGAAAAATTAACATTGTATATTTATGTTTTTATAGATGGGTTTTTTTTATTATTTTTCTGTTGATTTTTGTACATATATCAATTGAAAATAAAACTTGGTGACTTGGTGTAGCTGTTTCTTTAGTGAATGCTATAACAGAGTTTGGTGACAAGCATAGGTCTATCCTATTCAGCTTGGGCTTAGAGAAACAGTTATTTTGATTTGTTGATGCTTTGTATATAAACTTCATTACATAAAACCTTGATTAATTTTCGTCATCTACTTCTCGGGTTTAAAGCAGAGTGATTAGAATTTTTATGAGACAATAATTTTGTCAATTCTGATAAAGAAAACTGTTATATTCTTGTTTTTCTACTGTAGGTACAAGGCACCAGCACAAGGAACACCATCAGATGACCCTACACCAGATTATATGAATTTATTAGGAATGATCTTTAGTATGTGTGGTCTAATGATGAAGGTACGTAAAATTGTTTTGATTCCCCGGTTGTACATTGTACGTGACAAGGAGTAGGGTCGCCTGTCCAACCTCGTGGATTTTATCAGAGTCCTCTGGTTTCCTTCCACTACTAAAGACCCATGCGCGCAAGCGAATTATTGAAATAATATTGAACCATATGTTAGTCCCGAAATGACCTGGTTTGTGTCAAGTGGAGGTTAAACTCTCTCTCTCTCTCTCTCTTCCGGTTTCCTCCCACTGCTAAAGACCCCTACGCGCAAGCGAAATATTGAAATAAAATTAAACTATATGTTAGTCCCGAAATGCCCTAGTTTGTGTCAAGTGGACGTTAAACCCCATTTCTCTCTCTCTCTATTTCTCTCTCTCTAAACGCAGGGGGAGGAGGAGGGGGTTGGATGGCCGAATGGTTAGCGTGTGCATGCTATGTCATAAGGTCTGTCATTGAGTCAACTGGCATGGTTTCAATCCACCTGTACATGTAGGTGACATGGAGTAGGGTAGTCTGTTCAACCTCGTGGGTTTTCTTCGAGTCCTCCGGTTTCCTCCCACTACTAAAGACCCAGGGGGTTGGATGGCCGAATGGTTAACACGCGCGTGCTGTATCATGCGGTCTGTCATTGAGTCAACTGGCAGGGTTTCGTTTCCCCGGTTGTACGTGACAAGGAGAAGGGTCGCCTGTCCAACCTCGTGGGTTTTCACTAGGTCCTTCGGTTTCCTCCCACTGCTAAAGACCCCTACACGCAAACGAATTATTCAAATAAAAAAAATTAAACCATATGATAGTCCCGAAATGACCTAGTTTGTGTTGAGTGGACGTTAAACCCCATTTCTCTCTCTCTCTCACTAAAGACACATGCGCGCAACCAAATTATTGAATTAAAATTGAACCATGACCCAGTTTGTGTTGAGTGGACATTGAGTAGGTAAGACGCTGGCTTGCTAGCCTAAAGGTCGGGTGTTCGATCCCTACATTGGCAGAGAAAGTTCATCCAGATTTTCCTTTTCCCGCATGGTTCTCCCTTGTCAGTGATGCAAGACAGAGGGTCTGACAAGAACAGCTATCTAGTCATTTCGATGGGACGAAAAACCGTGGTCTCGTGTACAAATTGGCATGCACGTAAAAGACCCGATATGGATTTCGATATAAGAGTAGGCCATAGTGCCGCTGCCCGGGAAAAATTTCCCTCATAACACACTGTATGGCGTATGCCCGTCTTCATTAGCCCAGTTTGGAGCAGAACAGTAGGACGTTAAACCCTATTTCATTTCATTTAATATTCATTGTGTTTTTGACGTGATGTTGTGTTTTAATATTCATTGTTTTTTTTAATTATAGTTAAAATGGTGTGCATGGGTGGCAGTTTATTGCTCTTTCATAAGCTTTGCAAATTCAAGAACCTCAGAAGATACGAAACAAATGCTCAGTAGTTTTATGTAAGTTACCCTTTCATGTGTTGATATGAATATGAAGAGGGGGGTTGGATGGCTGAATGGTTAGCGTGTGCACGCTGTATCATAACGTCTGTCATTGAGTCAACTGGCGTTGTACGTGACAAGGAATAGGGTCGTCTGTCCAACCTCGTGGGTTTTCTCAGGGTTCTCCAGTTTCCTTCCCCTGCTAAAGACCCCTATGTGCACGCGAATTATTGAAATAAAATGACTTAGTTTGTGTCAAGTGAACGTTAAACCCTATTTCTCTCTCTCATAAATATGAAGAATGTGGGGCTCTTCGGGACTAAATCTTATGAAATTGTATGGTCATTCGTCGCGAAAGTTCCTAAGTATGAATCCATTTTGATTTAAAATGGTTCAAATATAATCCAACATGAGATGTCAGTTATGTCTCATTCGGGATCAGTCATGAAAAGCCCAATTATTTGTATCGTAATATTTCTACGCGCATCAGCCTTCTAAATGATGTGATTGACTTTTTTCCTGTTTTCAGAGAGGGTACGGCATCAATCTGGTTAAAACACAGATCCTATTTCGTTTTCGTTTTATAGTTCAAAATTTCGTTTTACTTGTCTTTACTACACTTGGATCTGGAAGAGTTGTTATTTAACTCGTGTTCTGAATGGTGACAGGGATAAGCCAACGAAACGGTCTGTTACGGTGAGCTTTAGGCTTGTTTTTCATGGAACTGTGGGTAATCCACTAGTAACATCAATGCTGATTGGTTAATCAAATGTTTGACGTCATAGGGTCATAAGTCGGTCTTTTGACCCCTGACGTGACCTATCGCTATAACTTGTCAGATCTTCATGCAGAGCTAGAAATTCACGCGAATCTCCGAATCTAATTCGCGCTGGGATTCTCGCAAGAGGTTACGATGCGAATCTATAAGGATTCGCGTAAAACTTTTGTATATAAAAAAAAACAAACTAAAATCTAGGAGAATTGTCGAGTCCGACCGACTATTGAATGTCAGTCAGTCAATTTGTATGACTTACTTTATAGCATACTATATGTATAATAAAATAAAATAATTGTTGTGTTTTTGTTTTACTGTTTACTTCTAACTTATAATTTTGACGAGTTTCTGGCTGGTTGTTGTCTTTTTGTTATGTAATAAATTTTATGGAAAATTCCCCGATCATGACACAGCGACTGCTTTTAGAAGTAGAGTATTTATGCATATTTCAGTTACGATAAAAATTTATTTGTTTCCTAATTATTTATTTTAATCCTTCTTAAAAAATATTTAGCATGCCAACCTTGAAACGAAATAGTTTGGGTTCCACGATTTTATCCTTTCGAGCGGCAATTTGATTCCCCACAGGGGTTAAATTGGGTCATTCCAATTCTATTTTGTCACTGTCAAGGTCGGTCACATGTTTTTTTCGTCCACTGTCGTTTGTGCGGACAACGTATTTATCAAACTTTTTTAGGACAATGACATGGCTTCTGGAAGCAAAATTAAAGCTGTATATATACAGTAATTATTCATTATATTAAATATGTTCAGTAAAATAATTAATAAGCCACGACCTCGGCATGGTTTGCGAATCGTGCGTCTTCCACACTCCGTCCGTCCGTGTGAATTCTGGATATTATTTTTAAAAAATATAACTGGATCATACATTGATGAATTCCTTGACCAGTAAGTTAATTTTAAATCTTCATTGAATATAATCCCCGGATAGAACACCGAATACACAGAGAGAGAAACAGTGGATATTTTCCCGACGGAATCTCAATGTCGAATTCCAATAACACGTGACATCTTGGTTGGAATTAGGTCAAAATTTGCGTGTACCGTTATGATTATTTTATTTTATACTATATACATGCTGACAGATGCTAAATTTTAAAAATAGTATTGAAATGAAGGATATACATGTATCCTAGTCGTACTGAATTTTATTTTATAGCAATTTTATAGCAATGAGAGACTATTAAATGTTTCTGTATCTATATTATTTGTATATTCAATAGGTTATCGATATCAGCAGTAGTCATGTCATATCTCCAGAATCCACAACCAATGCAGCCACCATGGTAATATGTAGTGATCTGATATCATCCATACAAAAATTTTATACACAATAATTGCCAGTTTATTATACGTCCACATTCATAATGTGAACGTATTATGCCGTCGCCCCTGTCTGTGTGTGTGTGTGTGTGTGTGTGTGTGTGTGTGTGTGTGTGTCTGTGGTTCGCCTACAGGGCGCAATTCTTCATGGATTTTCTTCAAACTTGGTATACTTATTCCTTATACCCCAAGGAAGATCCCTATTGTTTTTGGTGCATGCCCGACCCCCCGGGGCAGAGCCACGCCCATTTCTAGTATTTGTTTGTTTGTCGTCTACAGGCCACATTTCTTAACTAATAATCTTGAAACTTTGCATACACATTCTTTGTACCCTAAGGAACATCCCTATCGTTTGGGGTGCATGCCCAACCCCCAGGGGCAGAGCCACGCCCATTTTCTTTTCGTGTGTCTTTGTGTCGCCTACAGGGCGCAATTCTTACTGGATTTTCTTCAAACTTGGTATACTTATTCCTTATACCCCAAGGAAGATCCCTATTGTTTTTGGTGCATGCCCGACCCCCAGGGGCAGAGCCACGCCCATTTCTAGTTTGTATTTGTTTGTTTGTCGTCTGCAGACCGCATTTCTTAACATACCATTTTGAAACTTTGCATACTTATTCTTTGTACCCTAAGGAACATCCCTATCATTTTGGGGTGCATACCCAACCCCCAGGGGCAGAGTCATGCCCATTTTCTTTTTTTTTGTGTCTGTGTGTCGCCTACAGGCCACAATTCTGAGAGATCATCTTGAATCTTTACATACTTATTCCTTATACCCTAAGGATGCCTCCAATTGTTTTTGGTGCATGCCCGATCCCTAGGGGGCAGAGCCACGCCCCTTTCTTGTATTTGTTTGTTTGTCGTCTACAGGCCGCATTTCTTAACTTATCATCTCGAAACTTTGCATACTTCTTTGTACCCTAAGGAACATCCCTATCATTTGGGGTGCATGCCCAACCCCCAGGGGCAGAGCCACACCCATTTTCATTTTTTGGGTCTGTGTGTCGCCTACAGGCCACAATTCTTAATTAATAGTCTTGAAAAAATTTCATATGAATTCCTTATACCCTAAGGATGATCCCTATTGTTTTTGGTGCATGCCCGACCCCCAGTGGCAGAGCCACGCCCATTTCTTGTATTCATTGTTTGTCATCTACAGACCGCATTTCTTAACGTATCACCTTGAAACTTTGCATACTTACTCCTTCTATCCTAAGGAACATCCCTGTGGTGAATGCCAAGCCCCGGGGACAGAGCCGCTCCCATTTTTTTTTTGTGTGTCTGTATGTCACAGCCTGCAATGCTTAATCATCTTGAAAACTTTTTTATACTTATTCCTTATACCCTAAGGCTGACCTCTATTATTTTTTGTGCATGCCCGACCCCCTGGGACAGAGCCACGCCCAATGTTTGTGTGCCTTTTGTGTCGCCTACAGGCCGCAATTCTTAACAGATCCTTTTGAAACTTTGCATACCTATTCCTTATACCCTAAGGATGCCCCCTGTTGTTTTTCGGTGATTGCCCAACCCCCAGGGTCAGAGCCATGCACAATTTTTGCCTCGAGAGCCCAAAGGCCACAATTCTGAATGGATTATCTTGGAACTTGGTATCCTTATTCCTTATACCCTAAGGACGGCAACTATTGATGTTGTCATTTCAATAACAGGGTGGTACCTATTTATATTGTTTCCATATCCAACCCCCAAGGGCAGAGCCATGGAACTTGGTATACCTATTCCTTATACCCTAAGGACGGTAACTATTGATGTTGACATTTTGATAACAGGGTGGTACCTATTTATATTGTTTCCATATCCAACCCCCATACGGGCAGAGCCGCGCCCATTTTTTGTATTTATCGTCTACAGGCTGCAATTCTGAATGGATCATCTTGGAACTTTGCATATTTATTCCTTATACCGTAAAGACGGCAACTATTTATTTTGATGCTTGCCCCGACCTCCTGGGGCAGTGTCACACCCACTTTCTTGTAGTATTTTGTCTGTAAATTTGGCAAAACAACCCCAACGCCTAGCCTTCTTTGCCTCTGGTCATATTACAGCCATTTCATATTTCATTCTCTTAATTTTAAAAAGTACCATATCAATCAAAGCTGGAATGTGGACGTATATTGCAGCGTTAGCGATGCTCTTGTATAGAAATAATCGTGTAAATTATATAAAGTAATTAAAAACTGATTACGCAAGACTGATGTACATCATAATATATATGTTTCAATGTTTAATATATCATTATGTCATCTGGGAAGATATGTATGTATTGAAAAGTATAATTTTTTTAAACTTAAGTTCTTGTATGTAATATGTAAATATTTATATGTGTGTTGTGTATGAGGGCAGAGTGTACGAGTACATATTGTATGGAGTATTGTAAGGTACAACTTTGTAATGTTTGATATTGTAGTAAGGTACAGCCTTGTAATGTTTAATATTGCAGTAAGGTACAACTTTGTAGTGTAAATATTGCTGTAAGGTACAACTTTGTAATGTTTCATATTGTAGTAAGGTACAACCTTGTAATGTTTCATATTGCAGTAAGGTACAACTTTGTAATATTTGATATTGCAGTAGGGTACAGCTATGTAATGTTTATATTGCTCTAAGGTACAACTTTTTAAAATTGTAGAAAGGTACAACTTTGTAATGTTTAATATTGCAGAAAGGTACAGCCTTGTAATGTTTGTGGAAAGAGAGAAATGTAACATATGTCTGTACAATTTTAAATTAAAACTTTTATTATAGAAAAATGAGTTTTATTTTAGAGAGGACGGAGGCCTGACAAGGACAGCTGTTGTGCCGTTCCGATGGGACGAAAAACCGAGGTCCCTTGTACATATTGGCGAACTCGTAAAAGATCCCTTGGCAGTTGGAATTCGATATAAGAGTAGGCCGTAGCGCTGCTGCCCGGGCAAAATTTCCCTCATAGCGCACTGTAAGGCGTATGCCCTTCTTCATTACCCCAGTTTAGGAGCAGAACAGTAGGACGTTAAACCCCATTTCATTTCATTTATTTTAGAGGAGCTGCCATGGCTCATTGAGTAAGATGCATACAAGCAACTGGGTGAGTTCGGTTTCGTTTCCCGTGTTGTCGAGAAAGGTCCAAAGGATTTACTGATGTAGTTTCCCCTTATCAGTGGTGCATAATGGGGGAATCTGACAAGCAAAAGTGCCTAGTCTTTTGGATGGTATGAAAAATCGTGAAGTCCCCTGAACACATTGGCCTGTCCAACCTTGTGGGTTTTCTCCAGGTCCTCCGGTTTTCTCCCACTGCTAAAGACCCCTATGGGCAAGCGAATTGTTGAAATAAAATTAAACCATATGTTAGTCCCGAAATGACCTAGTTTGTGTCCAGTGGACGTTAAACCCCATTTTTCTCTCTCTCTCTGTGAACACATTGGTTTAGCAGAACAGTAGGACGTTAAAACAGATTTCATTTCCTTTTTAACGAGGAAGGATCACTAATTGTATGAATGATCTCACATTTCCAGAGGAAGCGTCTACTAGAAACATGTAGATGTTTACCAGCAGAGTCAAAATACCCTTTTTGGTGTAACAGAGTACCTTATCAATGTAACAGCTAGAAATAAAATTGAGGGTCCCCGACAGTGTACAGAATTGAGTCCAAGAGTATGACATTCATATTTTCACATCTGCAAGTCTTCATCCAATGGAATCTTTGATCTTGAACTCAAACCCAAAGTCCAGTATCTAGTGGAACTCTTGTGGTGAAAAACACCACAGACCCAAAACACTCTATGAAAATCTTGGGGAATATGGTACCACATAGGCATATAGGGGGTCGGAGGTTTTTTATTTTTTTTATCTATGTCCAGTTTCTTGTGAAAGTTTTGTGGTGAAAAACACCACAGACTCAAAATACTATCGAAAATCTTGTGGAATGTGGTACCACACAGGCACATAGGGGTTCTGAGCAGAAATATTTGAAAGAAAAAAAAAATTCTAATTCTAATATATTGTGGAACTCTTGTGGTGAAAAACACCACATGATAAAATTTTGTAGAATATATTTTCCCCTTATTTTACAAGATAATAGGATAAACTATTATTGTTCTAGCAAAATAAAAAGAAAATGTTTCATACATTTTTCATGGTCCACTTTTCCAAACGCCCCCAAACCTTTAATAGGGGAATATAAATACTTCAGATTAGCTTTAATATGGGAATATAAAATACTACAGATTAACTTTATTATAACTTTAATAGGTGAATGTAAAATACTACAGAATATAATATTTATTTTCATTCCATAGCAAAAATATCCGAATACTACCATTAAGCAAAATAAGCACATGCTTACGGCATCCCTGGAGGCGAGGCATTCCAGAATTTCTGCTTTGTTACATGTCGAATCAATAATATTTAATTTAAAAATTCATTGATTAGTTTTTCACTATTATTTATTTTTTTTATTTTTTTACTGTTACCTTATTTGTTTCAATATACTGACGTGTATAAAATCCTCAGAAAAACTCTAACCACGTGCTTGGTGTAATGTTTATGGTGTATTTTGTTTGAATATACTGATGTCCAAAACAAAGTATACACACTAAAAGTATGACTAAGTTTTGTTTGGATTAAAAACATTTGATAAAGCATTACTGAGTTTGTCTCTTGCGTCAAAACTCAACATTTTTAAGCAAAATAAAAATGTGAAACAAATTGACATTCTACCCAAATACCGTATACCATGGAAAAACGACTTTGGTTGATGCAGCACAAAATGCACAGTGTAAACTTTCTTTTGGACATTAGTATAGTTAACTATATGGCATCTTCAATAGAAAACTTGACCTTCCTTTAACTATTCCGGCGTGGTTTCCCCTTGTCAGTGATGCAGGACGGAGGGCCTGACAAGGACAGTTGTCTAGTCATTCGGATGAGACGAAAAACCGAGGTCCCGTGTACACATTGGCGTGCACGTAAAATATCCCTTGACAGTTGGAATTCGATATAAGAGTAGGCCGTAGTGCCGCTGTCCGGGCAA